GTTGCGTGGAAATTTATTAAAGGCATACATAAATATTCATTCAATGAACTTGTGGGTAGGGCTGCAAGCTTTTTTGGTCATAAAGTATTTAGTTTCTCTCTCTCTCTCTCTCTCTCTCTTTCTCTACCACCAAATTAATTATATACATACATACATGTAGAAGAGTAACGTTTACCATTGTCGGCCGTTGATGCTTTCATCAACCAAGCTTACCGCAAAAAAACAGCGGTAAAACTCGGTGAAATGGGCAGACCATCTATTTTTATTATATTTCACTACAGACTATTCCACTCATTGCCTAACCGCTGACAATTTACTTTAATATCACCTCAGTTGAGGCAAACCTAATTTTCTTTGCAAAGTATTTATGTAAAATGTTGCATGTATGAATGTGAGTATGTACTTCCATACATATGAACACAAGGGCATACTAGTACGTACAGTTGTAGCAATAATTATGCACTGCGCTATTTTGCCTCTGAGCTTTGTATACCCTTAAGCAGCAGTTTCACTTTGGTTTAATTGTCAACTGTGATGTTACGCTTTCAACGTTTCAGTTGCTGTACCGTAATATATGCATATATTTCCTGCAAAAAGCGCGACTATTTCATGCATGCATGTAAACAGTACTCCCCTGCAGTGAAAAATTTTCAATTGTTAGAAATAACCAGCTTGTACCTTCTTTTCGAGGTTTCGATAAATATCTCACAATTAATAAGCAATGAAAACACCAACTTAAAGTGAGTTGTAAAGTTGGCAGTTTTTTTCTTTAAACAATCCATTTATATATGCTCATGCAAAAATTACTTTGAATATCTACACATTTTTTCTGCACTGCACGTTAAAACACGAGCAATGATCGGGTAACAATAAGTTGGTGTAGAGACCAGAGTTGCTCCTCTAATGTATTACAGAGTAGCATATTGTAAGTATTATCCAAATTGGCACAAATGGGCCACATGACCCAACAATTTTTGCTGGGTTAATTAGTTTTTGTAAACCGTCGAAAAAATATTTTTTGTCTTTCGCCTCAAATTGAGCCAGAATTGCCTCCTTGACCACATCGTCGTCTTTCTTCTTAACACTTTTTTTTTAATTTGAAAACATATAAAAGTCACTGGGAGGTGGGTGAGCCAACGATTCGAAGGCATGCGTGGGCAAAGCAGCCATTGCAACTCTACTCTTGTGAACCGGTGCGTTGTCTTGCAAGAGTAACACACCCTTGGAAAATTTTCCTCGTGGGTTTTCCTTGCTGGCCTCCTTTCCTTTTTCTGATTTGGTTGCGTAGTATACTCCGGTTATGGTGATACCCTTTTCTTTATAATCGATGAGCAATACAAGTTTTAAACTTTTTCAACGATGTCAGTTGTGGTTACCTCGACGGGCCATCCTAAGCGGTGGTGGTCTTCAATCGACCCCGACCGTGTTTAAATAGCCCATGCTATTTATAAATCACTGATTTACCAGTACACTTTTTACCACAGACGGTTTCGAGTAAGGAATTTTATCTCGGCACGGTGTTCGATTTTCTCCATACATAGTTTCAGTTTACTTGCGGGCTGACATGTTTAATAGGCGACATTTCGTAAACTTATTACGTGATTTATTGGCTATAACGAAGCAATCACAAATATGTTTAGATATTCCTGTATGGCGCTGTGCTAGCCGAAACTAAGCGGAAATGCAATATGAAGCCTAGTCCTTCTCCAACTGACACTTAAAACCAGCTTAGAGAAGTCATAACAGATGCCGCGGTTATTAAGACTCACCAAATTTATAAACATCTTAAAACCTATGCTCCGTAGGAGACGAATGACGAGCAGTCTTGAAGTTCATATCCTAATATTTCAAAGTACTTGGAATTTTTTCCTTTTTAGTTGTTGTTTTGTGACCGGGTTGGTGTATGATGTATTTTGAACGATTTTCCATCATCTCTTGACAAATTTTCGCTGAGAACGAAAAACTATACTGAAAATGACAAATCGCGGAAACTGGTTTGTCTCTAAAGCATATTTGACGAGAGTTGACGGAAATTCGTTTCAAAGTATATCCTTGGAATGAATTTATATTATGTCCTCAGTTTATGCAGACGTAGGACACATTCTAACCCGCAAGGAACGTCATGACAGGGTTGGATGTCCTCTGCAAAGATAGTTTTCTACCAAAAGGGTGCATATGAAAGAAAGAGATTTCAGCCCCATAAGCGTCACCTCATTTCTTCTAAAGACTCTACAAAGCCTCATAGATGAAAACATACGACGAAATCTAAAAAATTATAGCCTCTGCGAACCAACATGCCTGCCGTAAGGGAAAATCCTTGGAAACTGCGCTCCAATAAAGTCATACCTATCAACGATTGAAAAAGTATTAGCCATCAAAAAATAGACGGACGTGTTTGTCGATATCGGAAAAGATTTTAAAAATGTCCAAGCCTGAATCAATTGATTAGTCCCGCCTCCTAAAGGGTATGAAAATGTTGTAGGTGGAATTTATAAAGCTCCTTTTCGGAAACAACACTATTTTATCGGAACTGTGAGTTACATCCATAACTAAATATGTTATCTGTCTCCCCTACTCTGGAATAAAAAAGTCAACGCCCATGTCATGTAGTTCATACCAAAGTAATTGTTTATCCTGCCATGATACCGGCATCATTTCTGAAGAAGTACGGTCCGATTACTGCAGTTTAGATGAAAATTGGCCTTATCGCTCATTACGATTTTTTTTTATCAACATCACCGCTTGGATCACTTTTACTCGTTGTTCAACTGAATATAGTTCCATGACTAAGTTTTTCAAAGCCTGTAGTACCAATTGCCCGATAAACTCACCAACATTTGAAAAGCCACGCTGATAAAGTCCAGGTAATTTGTTAACGTTGAGCTTTAAGCTTTCGCACAACACGCTCGGTAAGACTATGTACTGCTAAAGGGTCTATTCTATAATTTTTAGCTCAGGATCGATTTTCGTGGAAAATGCCAAAGCATTTTGAAATTCCAATAAGAATGCATGCTTTCGTCATTAAATAATATTTGGTTTTGCATGCTCGAACTTTTCGCCGCGATATATGAACAGCTCAGCTCAGGAAGTTAACTTGTAATCTCCTACTATGCTATTTTTGTGAACTATTATTAAGTGGAAAATAAGTACAGTCTCGTATATTATTTTACTTTTTGATTTCAGTATATGTATCATTTCATAGTACAATATTAATAAAGCCACGATTGCCTGTTCATTGAACCAATTTTTTTCTTTCTTTATAGATCAGCCAACAGCTCATCTCAAAATGGGTTCTTCATTGAATCCAGATGACATAAAGGAAGGCGATGACGTTTACTTTGAATGCGTCATACAATCAAATCCAAAGCCATACAAAATGTCGTGGTTTCATAACGTAAGTACCAAAAAGTAAAATATGCAAACGAAAAAGCTCAGAACATTTACACGAATGTAAGAAAAGTTACAAAAAGGAGTTGTATCTCCTTTTTTAACAAGTTAAAATACATACATTAAACCATTAAAGCACTTAAGTGAAATGTGTAACACAAATGGTTGTAAGTATGTACGCATCGCACAAAAACTCTACAGCAAAAAAATTGCCAGCCGTGAAGCAAATACACAAAAAATATGTATGCAAGGATTTACAATTCATTGCATACCTAGATCCTTTTATATATGGATCTATACATAAGTACTTATGTACGACTTAAAAAAAAATATGTTTGTATATAGCATGCACATATTTACATATACAAGTACAAATTTTAATGTGCAGCGACATTTATGTCCATATGTATGTAAGTTAGGGTGGTCCTAATGTGCATGCGTGGAGAAAAGGTATACAAAGTTAAGCTTAGGATTTTTGTAAATGGAAAAATATATCTTTTTTATTAAAAAAATTACATTTAGAACCGTCTGAAAGCCCATGGAGTTTTCTATGTATTTTATATAGGGCGGGAACACCTTTTCCTAGAAATGATATTGAGTTCTTGAAAACAATATTTTTCGATCGGAAAACTCTGTTTATCTTTGAGAAGCTTCCAATTATAGTGCCCAATTGTTAATTTAACGATTCTTCAATACTAACTGTTTTTTAAACGTCCTTTAAAATCCCCAAAATATGCAATGGATGGAACCATAAAAATCGCTAGTATTAAATAATCTCTAGTATTAATAACGGTAAAGAAAATTAATTGAGTCTCCTGAAGAGAAAGAAAGTTTTGCGATCGAAAAGTATTGATTTTCAAGACTTCTATACTATTTGTACGAACAAAGAGTTTTTCTCCCTTAAAAAATACATGGAAAACTTCATGGGATTCCAGGCAGTCCTAATTAAAGCTTAGTATCCAGCTCTTAAGAAAAGCAAAAACTCCATATAAAATGACGTACAAGAAATGGCTAAGAAATTTTCTTGAGTCAAATTTCCTTAAGGCAGTACGCAGTTCTTCAGAAATTTAGTACGCTTTCTACTACGGTTTTCTAAAGTTTTTTGTGAAAAAAGAGCACAAGGCAACCCAGGTTTGCAACAGAAATATATGCCCGTTCCATTATTTCTTGAGGAAAGAGTGAGGCAACAGGCTGTGAGGTATAAAAAATGTCAAAATTCCTTGGACACACACGCGAAATAATGGCAATTTTTTCTTGACCGTTTTCTTAAGAGCTGGATACTAAGCTTAACATTGTTTTGCTTTACACTTGTGCACAAGGGTATTATAACTTCGTTCACATAAAGGTTCTTTGTAGCAGCAAGTAAACAGCCGTAAAAATTTATATTCCCAATGATTTTTAGGTGGAAAATAAAAGTACTAAACAATTTTGGAAAATAGGCGTAGCCACGGTCACTTATGATTACATGCGTTTAACTATCATCGTAAACGCTACACTAATTTTTGCCCAACATGGTACAGTTGTTGGTCTTGAGAAAACATACCAAATGGCTGAAAATTTTTCAATTCGGATAATAACCACGCCCACATAACATATAACGGTAATTTAGGGAAATACGAAATCTTCGACAAATCAATAAATACTGAAGCTAATTTATAATTTATTCAAAAATGATGTTTGCAATAACACTTCAGAAAAAAATTCGTTTGCATAAACATTTTAGAAAATGGGCATGGCACCGCCCACTTATGACCACATATGTGTATCTCGGTAACCGTTTGATCGATTTATACCAAATTCGGTACAGTTATTGTACTTGCCATATAGAAGCAAAATGTTGAAAATTTTTGAATTCGGACTAAAATTACGCCTACTTTTAATATAACGGTAAATTTTAGAAACATAGATTAGATTAAGGATGCATATCTACTCAAAGTTGATCTCACAACAATACTTTAAAAATAAATAACATTATTATGGAATTTTATAAAATGGGCGTAGAACCGCCCAGTTATAACTGTATAAGGTTATCCCATTAAGACTAAATGAAAATACTATCGACATCGTTAGAAATAGGGCAAAAACCACTCTGCTTATCATGTAACTGTAGTTTTCAGAAAGGTTGAAAACTATATTTAATACTTTCGCCGGCTACTTATTTAATTTTCGGCTTCACCCGAACTTAGGCTTTTTAATGTGTTTTCATTTAGAAAAATGCTTGGGGTGAGAGCTGACCATTTTAAACTTTTTTATTACCACCCTAGTGTATGTACATATATACATGCATTGATAGGTGTGCACAGGATTCCAGTAGACAGCTTTTTAATGCAAACGCACACTTGCTAGACGCTTTAATAAAAGTCTTCACTGTTTTCTTTTTTCAGTTCTTTTGAATAGATATGTATGTACATTGCACATATTTACATATGTATACACGATTTCGTGTGGACTTTCCAATATACAAGAAGAAATCTAATAGGCACATTTCTACGTATGTTTTTACTTATGTATATATATATACATACAAACACAGCTGGTACAACATAGGATAAGACATTTAGTGGAAATTATTTTATTTTTTTTTAGTTTGTCTTTAAATCCAGACTAGGTTCGCCGGTTTGTTGGCCTACCAACCTTTCTGCCTAGCTACTACTACTAAATTTTCATCATTTATACCGACCATGTGGTGTTTGGGAAGTCTGTAGGCTTTACCAAAAAACAACTGGTATAAATCCATTTATTTCTAAACTTCAGGCAGGAGTATGTCTGTACAAGTATTTTTCCATCTAGAATAACATTTTTTGCTACCTACTGCCCAAGCGTTCTTAGGCTTCATCTTGAGTTTACTTTACGTCATTTCCATTCGTTTGTCTGACTTGGAATGGCAAGTGATGTGGTAATCCTTTATTTAACTCGAAATTTTTTTCATAGTGATTCTATGTGCTTGTATCCTTTTTTTTGCCCTTGTACAAAAATGATAACTGCTTTCTTGATTCTGGCAGCAAGTTTGATTAAAACCTAAGAAGGAGATGTAAGTCATAAATATGCAGGCATGTTAAACTACAGCAATATGAAAACATGGCTGAGGCACAATGTATTCTTGTGCACTTGTTTATTTAGTTCTTAGTAGCGAACTACTTGGAATAGTAAGTAGTTTAATGGTAATGACATTCGTAACATCAAATGTTCCCCCTTTAATTATTAAAATTGCTTAACTGTAACTCTTTTTACAGTAGGTAAAAAAGTACGCTCAAATCAATAACTATGAAATCGTTTTATTACCATAACCAGATCCGGAAAGCAGGTGAGATAAGCACTAAAAAGTTGAAAAATTTACTTACAATACGCTGGAAAATAAATTTAAATAGAGTTAATGAAGTTCTTAAGAAATTTTGAACGCTTTGGACTAAGTTTTTTTTTAAGTGTTTTGTGAACAAATAACACAGGGTAACCCACACTTTCGAAAGAAATAGAAAGGTTGTGCGAAAGATTTACGGGTCTTTAATCATTGGCGATGACACATTTCGCAGGCGATGGTACGGTGAGAAATCTACATACATATCTATTAGTTATATAACCCGTTGTAGAGTTACATCCTTTCTTCTACACAAAATTATTTGGCATTTGGTTGACTGCACGTAGAAGCCATTAAACATATCTTTGCAGCTTTTTGAATAATTTTAGGGCCTATAACTTTAAATATTATTTTGCACCGATTTTGAATCTTGCAACATATCGTGTTTTTCCCAAGGGAAACATTAGTATAGTATGGAAAGGACGTAACTCGCATTTTCGCTGCTTTACAGAAGAAGCAAAAACTTATTAAAGTTTCAGAACGCGATGTATTTAGACATTTTTTAAATGCAATTCACTATAAAAAAAACTAAAAAATTTCTTTTATATTTTTTCTAAGGCTGTTTGAGAAAATTATATTTGCAAAAAACGTGAGTAAGCAAAGTTCGCTTCGAAATTAAGCTTTTTAGTATTTTTTTTTCCAGTAGACGCTTACATGCTAAAAAAACATTATTTAAAAAACATCCGTTTTAATTTATAGGCATATGATTTTCCACATAAAAAAGGAACAATACAAAAAAAAACAATATTTAACACGTGAAGACGAGGGGTCTAAAGAGATTCACTTCTTAAGTTGTACTTTTCTTAAACAAGTTTGAATGCAGTTTTCTTTTTTAGATAATCGCATGAAAGAACAAAAACATACCACAAACAAATACAGTGGAAATTTATGGAAAATGTTGCCAAACTAACTAATCCCAATTTAAAGCCTGCAAAGTCGGGATTTATTAATTTACCTACTGAAAAGTTAAACAACAAAATTATTAGATTTAGGGATTTGTCTTGACTTAGTTGCATACTTTGCGTTCCTCAGTTGCTTATCCAATTTTGCAGCATTTTTTCCTTTAATCTCAATGTCGATAGAAACATTTAGCTACACAAGTGCAATCGGCCGGTATTATGTTTCAAAGTGTATGTAATGAGTACAATCATCCATCTTAAGATTTCTGAAAATCTTCTTGTTTTCTCAATTAAATTTACAAGGTCCATAACACATCGGTGACTGAGTGGAAGATCGCCTTATCCCTGCAATCAGTTCAAAACTCCCTATATCATAAATCTTTTCAAGAACGTCCTATTTCAGAATTTGGTTGAAGAACGCCCTATCTTGGAATTTGATTTCAGAACACCTTATTTCAGAGTTGAATTAAAAAATACCTTATCCCAGCTGCCGATTCAAAACGCCCTGTCTCAACATATTTTCAACATATTTTAAGTTGAGATAGGGCTACTGAGATACATAGGTCGATCTTCCACTCAGCCGTCAATATACGTACCTACTTTCATTTACACCCAAGACATATTCCAAAACAAATTCAAAATGTGCTTCTTCATTGGCTCGTCAAAGGTTGGTCAATTTCTGAATGAACTTCTTCTTCTTCAATATTGTGCTGCACAGGCCTCTCCCAGTAGTCTTGTGGGCTTCTGACAAAGCCAAAATCAAAGCATTACGCAGAGAATATTAGCCAAAGGCTACTTATCCTACACGTAGTGCAAAACTAACATGTATGCGGGAAATGTCCTTTCTCTTCCATTCAATGCAATAGTTATAAACAAGTAATTTTAGGCAAAAACACAACCGAATTCAATTTGCATATAAAAATTTAACAAGAAAATGCAAAAAAAAAAAAACAAATTTTTACAAAAAGAAATTGTATATGTATTTCGAACAAATAAAATCGCCATATATTTTGGACATCAAGCGGACATACATATCGCTAGTTGGGGGTAGTACCCTACATTTTCAGTTTACACTAGTAGCTAATGATAGTAATGAAACATTTTTCACTACTACTTTTGATGTTTTGTGGTGAATTGCAAAATATCAGGCTAACTATACAATAGTCATAGCGAAATAAAAAAATGGACCACTAAAATTAAGAATCGAATATTGAAAAAAAAATATTCCTTCAGCCGATTTCAGGTAATGTTAGTGGAGCACAGAAACGTTTCATTAAATTGAAACACTTATCTATGATGATTTCGTTTCTACCAAAAAATGGAAGGTACAATGAAACCGATTCAAAATATGTCGTGTTCCTGTTTCGCTTTCGGTTTTGCAAAGTGTTCCGGTTTCGGTTACGTTCTCGTTCTTTAAAATTTGTTTCTGTTTTTCTCCGGTTTCGGTTTTGGAATACAAAAATTAAGATAAGTTTGACAAAAAAAAACTAATTATTTATTAAATAATAATTTACCTTCCAAGGTTTGTTTTTGGCGAAGCTAAACATTGTGATTAATTTTAATTTATGTAAAGAAATCACCTCTGAATCTTATAACCATTATACAATACAATCTAATAACCATATTCCAATCAATACAATCTAATAATCTCCATCACATTTGCTTAGATCTAAATTCAGAAATTTGTTTATTATATTATTTATTATATAATGGGAGTTGTTGCTGAAAGGTATTTGATATACATACCCTGCAGGAAATGGGACTAGTTTGTAGCTAAATATCAACTAACTAGCAGTCGACTAGTGGTAACTATTTATTAACTATTTCCCTTGGCCGTAACTAACTACTTTTGAAGGGTGATGACCGAAAAATAATGATCCCTGGTTTCCTGTGGATTAGGTGTTAACTAACTTATAGCTAACTACTTTTGGACATAAATATCAATACAATTCTTTTCTCATTTTTATATTTTTTTATTTATTCTATTTAACATTACATATTTGCTTATTTGGTTACATGTTCTTTTGTAGGTGGTCCCACATTTGAATTCCATCAGACATAACATCAAAATAATAATGTAAAATTTCGATCTTTATTTTATATGTCCTGAATTCGAAAAAGAATCTGCGAATTGCAGAAAAAAATGTGTTTTGAAATTATTTTTGTAGGAGGACATTTAAATAGAAACTTGTAATGATAAAAACTCACGATAACGTCTGCATAACTCCTGCACGACCTTACAGCTCATTTAAAGTTAGTTATTTTAATCAATTGATAATTTTTTCTGCAGGGTACATACATATAAGTAAGTGTGATATTCACAGAAATTTTGTTGATATTATAATATAATAAAAATTTTTTGTTTAAATAGTCACATCTTACTCGCAAAAGCAAATAAATGTATTTAAATATATTTGTAGGCCAAACACTTGATTAGCTCTTATCAATAAAATCGAATCTTGCCGTCTTTGCTTTGCTTTGCTAATACAGGAAGGATAATTTCAGAAGTTTCGGTCCACGGAATTACGATTCGCGTCTGACTGAGACAGCACTAACTCAAAATCATCAGACTCGTCATCTGAAGTGAAAGCGGCAGCACTGCTACCGCCTTGAATTGCAGCAAATTTATCAGTGTTGCTATAAATCACGACATATAACAACTAAATATAAGGCTATTCACATACTAGTCAACAAATTTGTTATGCAAGTAATTTTTTGTGAAACATCACAGTTATGGTACCGAGAAAATAAAATTTTGGTTGCTACATCTTGCAGCTGATTTTTTATAAATTTCTGGAAACCGATTGAAACCTGTGCTTGAACAGGTTTCGGTTTCGTTCCTATAAAGGTCAAGTAACGGTTCTGGTTTCGATTTCGGTTTTGGAAACGGTTATAAACGGTTACGGTTTTGGTTTCGGTTTCATTTCTTGAAAAAATGTCGCCTTTTGATTGCTCCTTTCTCTTTTCGTATTCTATTCCAAATTAAAGGCAAGGGGTGAAAAAGTTTTATACTCATTTCTTAATATGTCACACTCTTATACTTATAAGGCAAAAAAGGCATATTCTCTGCTCTGATAAGCTTTCTCATATATGTATTACATCTATGTATATTGCTAGTACATTCAAAGTACATTCTCCAACATCAGAGCGTAGAAATATTGAAAAAATAAATTATTATTTAAAAACAATTCATTTGAAAAATTAACAAAAAATACAATTTTTGTAAATTCATGAAAAACGCTGCGGCCGCTGGCGATGACAGAGGATAAAAATTACTGCTAGAGAAGGACTTGGCATCAGTTTGCATTTTTAATTGGCGTCAATTAGCATAGAAGAGGATTGAATAGCGTGCTTCATTCCCTGAACCGCCCCTGATATGATATGGCACTTCACTGACGAATTTCCCTTACTTTTCCAAAAGGGTGGCCGCCTTATATAAGTAGGAATTTAAAATGTACATTAGGTATTAGATATACTTTTGAGGCGCTTTACAAAGTAAGTGACGTAGAATGTAGAGCAGTCGCTCGGAGTAGTTCGGCGCTTGGAGATAACTTCGGCGGCACGTTATTTTGCAACTGACAGCGTAATGCATCGTCGGAGGTGTCCATTTTGCGCTTTACTAGTAGATTACATTGATTATGATGACAATTTTTGTACTAAAACTGAAAGAAAGCATGGATGACCTTGTATGGTGCTTACCTATTTTTCCAGTGTTTACTTCTACAACCACACAAATTTTCATAGGCTGTCTTTCTTTGAAGTATTACGTACTGAGCCCTAACCGCCAAAATAATGTAGGCATGAACCTAATGTACATGCACCGTATCAAATTTCGGCTCGAGAAATTTTATGAGCAATAATTTTTGAAAGTTGAATGAACAAATTTTTATTGCAGCTTATATGCAGTAACTATTTAAACTTTGTACTATTTGATTTTATTGCGAACTTATTCACTACCACTAAATAAGTTATAGTGAAAAAGAATAGCAATATCACTAAAGTTTTTAGAAGTAGTAAAGAAGTTAGTGTACTCAAAACTTAGTGCACTAACCCCAACTCTGAACCTAGTGGAAAGCTAAGGTTTTCCCCTCTATAATTTTATACATTTTGACACTGCACATATGCAGTGTTGGTCACTTTTTACTAAATTTTCTTCCACTACTTTATTTAAGGGCATCTACGCATGTACATAAATGTTAAACATACTACTGTATACAAATATGTACATGTGTGTATCTGTCAACATATCCGGCCAGAGAAATCGCATGTGTATATCTTCTTCATAATTATTTTACAAATAGCATGACCTCTCCTATGATTTCCCCCTTCTTGAAAGTTCAGATCATCCTGATTATCATCATTTTCTTGCATTTCGTCATCAGCTACAAGCTATACACTCGTAAATATGTGTGCTTCCTTCAGTAATGTTCTTAAAATCAAAGAGCGTTATGATCCCTTTCATCAACACTAGTATGCCATCAGTGCACACAAACACTCGAACACATACGTACATATTCACATACGCTCAGCCATTTTCCTTGGTCATGTCCTGACGTCTTCTCGGCTATGCTCTTCGGTCGTCACTATCACACGCGTGTCAGTCTCACTGGCACTGATGCGTTTATTTCACCATTTGTTACACGTTATTTCACGCGGATTTAAAAATATACAATAAATATTCTTTTTGCACTTTTTCTCATTTTCCTTGCATTTTCTTTCTTCTCGGTTCTATTACGCAACGATGCACTTGCAATTTACCACTTCGCCATACTGCTACAACAACTATAACAACACACACACACATCCTTGGCTCATATGGCTGTGATTCGGCGCTGCAGGGCAAGGAACTGCATTCCAATGTTTCAGCTGGCATCATCCTTTCGGATCAATCACTCGTCCTGCAGAGTGTCTCACGTGCATCCGCTGGTGATTACACGTGTTTGGCTGTGAATTCGGAGGGAAAGGGCGCCAGTAATCCAGTTTCGTTGCATATACGCTGTAAGTATCAAGTGAAAACAATTTGATTTCATCATTACTGATTGCTCTTTGATGTTAATATTGATCAGCGAACGTGCGTAAGTACCTACATATCTACCAGTGTATACACATTTATGTGCTGCGAACACTTTTTACCATATAGTGGTCATCAACGTATAGTTTAGGGATAGATTTATCAATAAGAAGTTGCATTATGTAGACAATAGCTACGAATATCGTAAAGAGGTCCTTGTGCGATTAGTTATGTCCTTGCTAAAATCTAGCGTGATATGCTATGCCACATTAGTAAGGTCCCATTGACTTAGGCAAACCATATGATTGAGACGCATTAGTGGGTCGTAGGTAACTTTAAATCATGTTGATTTTAAACTCAGAGCATCTAGCTAGGTCTTGAAAGGATCCAGCTAGGCATTTTATCACTTGTTTCTAATGGCATATGCATTTCTATGACACTCTCAAATACCTCCTCACTGAACTTATTGAACAGTAAGTCGCTGGCATCCCCACTGCCCTTGGGCGGTGCCCTGTGCTATGGTGAAGTAGGGTATTCAATAGCCAAGTATGTAAATAATATCGGATTTTGGGTTGCAAAAATAATTATCCCGGGATCCTGGGATTTACTAAAATTTTTTTCCATTTTGCAGTAGGCTCACCGTTCTCAGCAATGCAGATTCATTGTCGGCATATCTGGCCTTATGCGAAGAACCCTTAGTAGGAGAACGTGTAATCTAATATTCAGATATTTTTATAATTTTCTAAAATAGCTATATTATTTCGAACAAAAAGCACTCATATTTGCAGAAACTCAATTTCCACAAACCCACGCCTGCAAAGTAAACTAAAGAAAAACACTGTTTTCAATTGCTACCAGATTTTTCGTTCTTACAAACCGAACAAGTACAGTTACTCAGTCAGGTTCTGAAATCCAAATGCAAATGACCCAAGTTCATTTTGAGTCCAAATTTTTCTGTATTCCTCGATTTTAATGCAAAATGAACGTAAATTATTTTTTTCGTTTTAACTTCACTTTAAAGTATAAACAGAATCAAATCGCTCAGAGAAATTCGTCTGAAGAACCCCCCACCGCTACCCAGTGCTACGGTAAAAATGTATCCACTAAGTATACGTTTTCAACTGGGACCACAAAAAGGACATTTAAGGATCCTTTTCGCGTCAACTCCTTAACCTCGTTGCCTTCGACTCAAAATGTTCTGGAACCTACGACAGTGTTACCGCATTTTTAGCTGGCAAAGTCTTTAACAAGTTTGGATTTCATCATCTAGTTTGAGAGGGTCCGAAAGTGGAGCTTGAAAGGCCCTCTTCAAACGTCTTTCAATGCTTAATTGAGGCATTTTACAATTCACAATGCTTCGTACCAGAAAAAAGGGTACAACTACCCCCCCTAAACACACTAACTAAGCGAAACTGCACGAAACAACAACAAATTACAAGGTTTGACGAAAATACTTCGCTATGACAAATTTTTCTGAATTTATGCACAATTCGGGTCTGCATTTTAGGTAATTTGTGAAGGGCATAAATAAAAGCGAAGCAATTGCTTTTATTCATACGGCCCAAAGCCTTTTAATTTTCGAAACGACTCGCGACACATCAATGGTACCCTACACGGCACTCACAATGAAGCTGCGTATTTATCTATTCAAATATGTTGGTGCTGATAAATTTTTTCGAAAAAAATATTAATTTTGAACGACTTTCCATCATTGGAAAATGCTAAGAATAAAAAATTACAAAAAAAGTGGTAAGAAGAAAAAAGCGAAAGTTCAATGGAATTGGTTAGATATTTTGGATCTCTTTTACTCCAAGGCCATAGCCGAAATGCCTGAAAGAAAGGAAATGCATTGCAGACCCTAGTACGTAGCCGAACGTTGGCCGACAGACTTTCATATTAACCCATTTTAGTTCGTGATGGTTCAAAATACCTGAGGAAAGAAAATTTAAGTCTGGTAGACTTTTAACTCCTATGATGGAAATTTTTGTACACAAAACAAGTTTCGAGTGGAAGAATTGTTGGTAATAGACCCTTACCATTGGTCACTGTCGCTTGCTTACCAATTTTTAACTCAAACAATTTTTTTGTTACATACATATCTACATAGATACATTCTTATTGTTGTATTATTAATTTTGATGAAAGGCGGGTATTCGTGGCGTATGAGTAACGAACTTCCGTGGTCATATCTACATTATCAAAAAAATCTTTTAGGGCCAAATTCGCAATGCGTAGTTAACTACAGACAGGAGTTTAACTAACAATTTTGATATTCATTTAATATAAACTTTTTTGTGAAAATAATTTCAAATTTGTATAGAAAAATATTAATTTGAAGACTTGATATACTTACAGTCGATATAAAGTTCCATAGTTAACCCTATGATTGTGAATATAAATTCATAGTTAACCTCTTGTTGGTGGTTAAGTTGACAATCGTTTAACTAAGCACTGTAAATTCGGCTAATAATTTAGCATTCGATTATCTACTTGAAAGGGGTTAACCGCAGCTTAGTAAATTCGGCTAATAATTTAGCATTCGATTATCTACTTGAAAGGGTTTACCCGCAGCTTAATAATTTCCCCGCAAATTGTTAGACATTTAATTTGTTTCTCTACAAAACGATGTTTCGTAAACAAAAAACAACCAGTAAATTACATTACCAACGCTACACTAATTGCCAATCATTTTTAATTACTAAAAAATATTTCCCGTCAAATCGAGTCTGTTTTTTATAGCGCCACAGAATTGTTTCGAACTCTAGTACCAGATATATCTACTTATCTATACTTAAAGGGCGGAAATTTTCAAAAAATCAAAAAAAAAAATGGTTTTAAACTAACAAAAACTCCTTAAAATTTATTTTCTAACACTTAAATGGCAAGCTGACCTCAATATATACCACTATAGCTTTTATACATGTATTCGGAAATAAATTATTAACCTTTAATTGGGTACATGGAGTCAGGGCCTGGAGCGCGCTGGCACTCATTATAGCTTCCCAACTCCCCTCGCTACTCTCTTAACTCCTGAACCCACGTGATCACTTACATAATATTTTGCAGAGGTAGGTAAGTTTTTATTTTTGTATCTAAGTTTGAAGTCAAAGATATGCTTTCATTCTTAAAGTTAACTATAATAGAGGGATTTAATATTGCTTTGATTTATTTAAGGTGAGATTAGTCAAGAACGCAGAACTTACACTTAAACGCTGTCTGTATACGCAGTACTTTGTCGATTACTGGAGCCCTCAGTATTGCTTACTACAGTGTTGCCACTCATCAATGCCTTTTCATAAACTTGCCTTTTCAACTACAATTTCAAATATTTTAAACGTATTTTGAATAGGAACTTATAACTTTTTCACCATCTGCAAAACTGACGAAGTGGCAACTATCTATAGAAGGAAGAAATCAGCTGACACGGAAAAATCTAAATTCCGAAGATTTCTGCGCTACAGGCTACAACTACAGAAACATTCTGCGATGTTGAGTTTTCATTTACCTGGCGCTCTGGTAACACAGATCGTGTCAGCTGACTCGGGTTTACGATAGTAGAGTACTTTAATATTTTTGATAATACAAGCTTTGTTTCTTTTTATTTGTGAAGCTCTTTTTTCAACACTTTTATTGGGGTGACTCGGGACCCCGTGCGACTAAATGTGTGATTCTCTTAATGCGCCTAATTAAGATTTAATCTCATATCAAGTATTATTTGTTTTTTAGTTGGTGATGTACGTCTGTTTATTTTTTCATGAATATACATATATATGTTATATTATTTGAGATGAAAGCCTTTAGAATTATTACGTTTCGTTTTGAGGTCCTTACTGACCCCTCGATGCCAGTTGTGTTCGTCAAATTTACGATGCCTGCAGGGGTATAATCGAAAATAGCAACAAAAAGTGATAATGCAAAAATTTGTTTCTTCGATACCAAAGAACCTTTTTCTAACCGAGGGAAAAATTACAGCACTAGTCTCAAAAAATTTCTAGAGTGGGAGTGGCTGGCAAGAATATCTGTGTTCAGTTTCAATTCAAATGTTAATATTGGAATTTTAAAATCACTTAGAACATTAGCACATCTACACGTGAGGTAGATAGCAATTTTTTTAAACTTCACTGTTTAATTTACATAAAAAAATAATAACTAATAAACCTAAATAATACAAATAAATATATTTCTGTTTCATGAAATAAATAAGGACTTTTGTCCAGCACCAACTGCCATTAAATTGGCCAATATATTCAGGCAATAAGTTTTGTGCACAGACTTAAATTTAAGTGCAAACTGAAAAGCCTGAGGGGTCACCAGAAAATTCGTAACCGTTTAATTCCACCAAAAAAGAAACGGACAAAGCAATGAAAAATAAAAAGTAACAATGCAATGAATAAACGAATGAGTAAACTTACAACTGAGCGAATGATTCAAATGCTGTCGAGTGTAGAATGTATAAGTAAATGTATGAAGGAGTATGTGCGTGCAAATGAAATTATACAAACGCAAGTGAAGATGAAATGAAGTGTAACCGTGGCCATTTAAAGCAGCACGACAGCGCTAGAGGAGGTCACTGCAGTTGAGTTGAAAAGAAAGCGAACCGAAAAGAGTACAAGTGGAATATCAGCGAAGGCGTTGAAAGACGGGCACTTAAACCGAAGGCAAGAAAAGCATTTTATGGTAATGAATATTTTTCAGCGACTTAGGGTTGGAAACTGCACTGATGCAGTTAAAAAGAAAGACGGCGAGATAGACGAATCTTACAGCAGATAGAGTGGCGTCTAAAAGTTTGTCAAACATAGCTACTGCCAGCTTTAAGTGGCACGACTTAGCATTCGTAAAAAGCTTTTAATCAAAAAAAAAAAACAGAAAGAATAACAAACATGTTGCCAGACGAAAGGACGTGTATACTTAAGCGTGAAAAGCAGAGACAGCTAAGACGCTAAACAAAACGTCCGAACGACCATCAAAGAGTATCAAGGGAAAAGAA